GGTTGGGGGGCCCATAGGGGAATGGAGGGCGGAGGGATAGCAGGGGGTTCGGGGGGGCATAGGGGAATGGAGGGGGGTCTGTGGGAGGATAGCAGGTTGCTCGGGGGTGGTCACACGGGTCACACAGAGGGGCCGTGGGGGGATGCCGGGTTAGCTCCTTGGGGGGTGGGAGAGGGAAGGTGCCCTCTGGTGCCAGGGGATGGATCAGGCCCAGGGAGGCGTTTGGGTTCAATCCCCCATGCCTGGCACGGGGTTCCCGGCCCGTCGCCCAGCGGGCCTGGGGCTCACACTCTTCCAGAGCAAGTTCTCGTCCTTACACATCCTTTTCTGCCCCCCAACCCGCCAGGCATCGTGGAGACCAGCCTTGTGTGGGACCCCCTGCAGCTGGGCCAGGTGGGGTGAGGCCCCCCCAGAGATCCAGCTGTTTTCTCCCTGCAGTCTTCTCCGGATTTCTAACCCTCTCACCCCCGTGGGTGCCGCGGATCCAGATTCCCGCTCCCTGTCTCTGCCGAGAAGCGGGAGGTCGTCGCTTGGGGTGACCCAAGGGGGCAGAGATGCCATCGTCGGAGAAGGAGCGCAGGGCCCAAAGGCGAAGCAGAGACCCCTCCCCGTCCCGGGGGCACCAGGGCGGGCGCTGGGACTGGAGCTGCCCCGAGACGCGGCGCCGGCTGGAGGAGCTGTATTTCCGGGAGCAGGATTACATCCGGGCGGGCTCTGAGGACAGCCGCCAGTTCTGGGCCTTCTTCGAGCGGCTCCAGCGCTTCCAGACCCTGAAGGCTGAGGGGGGGCCGGCGCTGCGGGCACCCCCGGCCCGGGCTGACCCCTCTGCCGTCCCTGGGCTGGCTGGCCTCCCGCAGGAGTACGACCCGCGCTACCGGATCAACCTGTCGGTGCTGAGCGGGGACGTGGAAGGGCTGGCGCGGGGCAGGAGCGGGGGTCTGCGGCGGGGCCCCGGGGTGCCGGCCGAGCGGCTCTCCCAGTTCCGCGCCGCCCTGCTGCATTACCTGGACTTCGCCCAGAAGCAAAGCTTTGGCAAGCTGGCCAAGCTGCAGCGGGAGCGGGCGGCCCTGCCCATTGCCCAGTACCGCGACCGGCTGCTGCGGGCCGTGGCCCAGAACCAGGTGGTGGTGGTAGCCGGCGACACGGGCTGTGGCAAGTCCACACAGGTCCCCCAGTACCTGCTGGCGGCTGGGTACAGTCACGTGGCCTGCACCCAGCCACGCCGCATCGCCTGCATCTCGCTGGCCAAGCGGGTGGGCTTTGAGAGCCTGCACCAGTATGGGGCTGAGGTGAGTGGGGCTGAGACCGGGGGCGGCCCAGGACTCCGACGGGGTCTGTGCCAGGCTGGGGGAATTAGTAGCCAGTTTTGTAGATCAGACAGGGAGGATGTGAGATCTGCAGTGCCCCCCACCCCCGGGCCAGGAGTCCTGGTTAAACCCGGTGCGGGTCCCAGATGAATGGACCCCATGTGGCCTCTCGCTGTTCTCCCCCAGCCCTGCTGCCTGGGGGCGTGGGTGAGATTGTATGCAGGGAATAGGGGCTGGGCCATGCCTTGGGGGTACAAAGAGCCCTGGGATCTAGGCTGTGCCCTCCCACCCCCCATGGGGGTCTAGGCTGAGCCCTGGGAGTAGGCAGTGCCTGGGGGTTTGGGCCAAGCCCCTAGGGCTCTGGGTCAGTCATCAGGGGCCTCTCTCAGGGCAGCCCCATGCATTTCAGCACCAGCTGTCAGGGGTAAGCACCACGGTCCCTCCTTGCTGGCCCTCTGCCCCTGGCTGGCGGGTGCTGGGCTCACCCCCACCCCCTGCTGACTGCCCGCCCTTGCTCCCCCCAGGTGGGATACCAGATCCGCTTCGAGAGCACTCGCTCCCCGGCCACCAAGATCGTCTTCCTGACAGAGGGGCTGTTGCTGCGGCAGGTGCAGCGCGAGCCGGCGCTGCCCGGGTACCAGGTGCTGATTGCTGACGAGGTGCACGAGCGGCACCTGCATAGCGACTTCCTGCTGGGCGTGTTGCGCCGCCTGCTGCCCGCCCGCCCCGACCTCAAGCTGGTGCTCATGTCGGCCACCATCAACATCCGCCTCTTTGCGGGGTACTTCGGGGGCGCCCCCGTAGTGCAGGTGCCCGGGCGGCTCTTCCCCATCACGGTGAGAGCACAGGGGTTGGGCATGGATGGGAACTTGGGGAGCCTCTCGCTGTACCCCTACTGCATCCTTGGGGATCCCTCGCCCGGCGCTGAGATGCAGCCACCTCTGGGGTGGGGCACAGGGGCTGTGTGTACAGCAGTGGTCACCGACCGATCTATTGCGATCGACGGGTCGATCCTAGAGGATCTCCCTGTCGATCACGATCTCCAGCGGCACAGCAAGGCTGCTGCTAAGACAGACTCCCTGCCTGCCCCAGCCCTGTGCTGCTCCTGGAAGCAGCCAGCGCGGCCCCGTGACCAGGGGGGAAAGGGAGATCTCCCTCCG